TTTCCGCCGTTTTTTATCAAAAATTAAGCATTTATTGTGAAAGAATGGTACATAATGTTTTATTTAAAGTAATGGCCATCGCTAGTCACTACTTTTTCCCCATCTTTCTGGTAATATATGGATACCGCGTTGGAAGAACGCTTCATCTTTTGAGGCTATCCAATCATCGATACAATTTTTGATATCTTCATATGATGTGCTGCTCAGACAGATCATGCGTCATCGATCGGAACAAGTGGTAATCGGAAGGAGCAATGTCTGGAGAATACGGCGGGTGGGGTAGAACTTCATTTGAATGGCGCCGCAACATGTGGTCGAGCATTATCATGCAGAACAATAATTTTGTCATGGAGTAGTAGTGGGCACGTTTTTCCTTGAGTGCTCGGCTCAATCTCATCAATTGTGTTCGGCAGAGAGCCCCAGTAATCTCGTTCGGTTTGAGCAACTCATAATACACGACATCAAACTGATCCCACATGCAAATACACAACATGAGTTTTTTTCCGCTTGGCTGTCGATGTTGAAGCATGGCCAGGTGGTCCCTATGATTTCCTCTTCTTTGGGTTATCGTAGGATCCATTTTTCATCACCAGTGACTATATGATGCAAAAAACTCTTTCGTTTATGCCTGGCAAGCAGCATTTCACATGTGAAAAATCGGCGTTCAACGTTTCTCGGCTTCAATTCATATGGAACCCAATTCCCTTGCTTTTGAATCATTCCCAATGATTTTAAACGATATGAAATTGTTTGTTGAGTCACTCCTAATGTAAGTGCAAGTTCTTTTTGCGTTTGGCACGAATCTTCATCCAATAATGCTTCCAATTCCGCGTCTTTGTACACTTTCGGCCTTCCACTATGTTCTTTGTCTTCGACGTCAAATTCACTGTTCTTAAACTTTTGAAATCACTTATGACAACTTCTCTCACTTAAGGCAGCATCACCATATGCTTCTACAAGCAATCTATGAACCTCAGCTGCAGATTTCTTCAAATTAAAGAAGTAAATCAAAAGTTCCCGCAAATGACGCTTATTCGGTTCAAAACTCGATTTTCATACAAAAAAAATATTAGGTATGAGAAAAAGTTCGTGGCGTTTTTTTAATGCCATCTAATGGGAAAAACGCTACTTTTTCCCACCTAATATATGATGCTGATACAAAATCGCTAATATTTCAAGGTTATGGTGTTGTAGGATGTCCAACTTACGATATGTCGTTTTACATCAAACATTTTTAACTATCATTTATTAGTTTTTTGCAAACGGCGGAAATTTATTTGTACTCCCAATACACACACACACACACACACACACACACACACACACACACACACACACACACGCACGCACGCACACACACACGCACACACACACGCACACACACACACACACTTTTTATTACATGTCGCATTATCACTGAATATAATTTATGTAGCCATTCAATCTGAATTAATATAAAGCCTTAGCTTCATAGCCACAATACAAAGCACTTTTACAAATAAATCTAAACATTCTATATCTAACAAAAAATAAATTAAAATGTAGTTTTATTGGAACTAATATTTATCCTTACAACTATTTTCATAATATTTTTATAAATATTTTATTAGTCCTCCTTTACTTTTTATTACTACCTTTTCTAAGAAAACAAATTCAAGATGTTTTATACTTTTATGTGTTGGCCAAGACTGTATAGTTTATTAATTTAATATATTGTCTCTTGCATGCTGCCATGTATGATTTACTAGTTTTCACTAATGTAGATTAACTGTAATCTTGTTCAGTTTATTCTTTGTCTTTTTCTAATACTAGAAAAAGTAAAAAAAAGGTTGAATTAAGATCAAAATTAATTTATGAATTATTGATAAAAATAGACACATTCTTCTGTCGATTGTTATGAAAAATGCCAAACATTTTGGTAGCAGAACAGGGCACTTATCGTGAAACAAGTTGGATTCCGATCAAAATTATTCAATCATTCCCTAGATTTCTATTGTATTTTCTAAGAAAAATGGAATAATTCCAATCGGAATTCATTCCGATATGTTTTATGATAGATATCCAGGGTATCTATTATGGAACATATCGGAATGAATTCCGATTGGAATTATTCCGTTTTTCATAGAAAACACAATAAAAATCTAGAGAATAATTAAATAATTATAAATCCATTCCGACTTATTCCATGACACAAAGAGAATTTTTTCTTAGAGTTTATCTTGAAAATATGATAGTCATGAGACAACGTTGTATTTCAAAGAATTTTAATGTAAATCTCATTTATTAATAAAATTACAATAAGATATAAAATAAGTTTGATTAATTTTACTGTGCAAAAAGTGGTAAAAATCTTTAAAATATTGTACCACAACTACCATATTTTCAGAATAAATTTTAGAAAAAAATTCCATGTATCCAGAATGATTTTTTATGTCTCAATAGTTATTCGCCTTGAGGATACTGCGGTTTTTAAACTTATGTTTTTACAGTACACATGGAAATGTCAGAAAGCATTGAAACCAAAGAACGTCATTGGATCGTTGTCAAATAATATTAATTTCGATCAGCGGTCAAATTCGAGTATTATATATTTTTCGTTTCATTCAATTCTGATCATTTTTATATTTTTAATAAATGCTTCTCTTAAAATCTTTTAAAACTAAATTTTCGATATTTATAAAAGAAAAATGCGGAATGCGCGTGCATACATTGTGCATGAATAAATAAACGAACTGACTGCAGCAGTGTAGAATCTTAACTCAAATATGCATGACCTTCCTCTTCTACCTATTTATCATATGCAACAGAGAGATTTTAAAATAAATCTGAAAGATATGTTTCTGAAAGAAACCTTGAAATAATTTTAATTTATGCTTAATTAGAAAGTGATCTAAAGAATAAAAAGGAAATTGTGAACTAAAATGTATTGTCAGATTTTAATCATATTGTGCATAACTTACAAGAATGTAACAGCAATGGCGTGCAACAAAGTCTTCACTTAAAAATAACATTAATCAATAAAAATTAATAAAATTAAAAGAAGTGTAAGTTAAAATATATTATCAGATTTTAGAAATCATATCATAATAGACTGCAAATTTTTGTGTTATTGAAATCAGTTTGTTACATTATTTATATTGTATTTATATTGTATTATTTACACGAAGGACATACAAAATCTCGAAAAAAATATCCTGAAAAAAATTGAAAACTACAGCAATATTCCGAAAAATCATAATTCCAAAATTTAAGAAGCGTGAAAATGTTCTGAAAAAAATTCATAATCTTGAAATCTTAGAAATGGGACATATGTCCCGAGTCGTAATAATGACTTTTCGGGACATTGTCGCATTTCTAAGATTTCGGAATTATAATTTTTTAGGGCATTGTGACATTTCTTAAATTTCGAAATTGTGACTTTTCGGATATTATTACACTTCTTAATTTTCAAAATCGTGACTTTCCGAGACTTGCATGTTTACCATTTAAACAAATTAGTAGGATTCCGGATAAATCGAATTCTTCGAAAGAAGATTTATAAAACTTCGTAAAAATATAAAATAAAAGTATGAAATTTATAAATTGTTACTCGCTGTAAGATTCGCTCTCCTGAAGTTAATCTATATCTTCAATTTCATTTTTTCCTCACGTTTAAAGGCAGGAAGTGTGATCGGCGACCGGTGACCGGCGACGATCTTCCGCGAACATTTGCGTGAGCAAATCGGAGACGTGACTTAAAACGAACGTGACCAAGGTGATTAACGGGGCTTAACATTCTCCTACTCTCTTTTTGACTGTTCCATGACGTCCACTCTGACGTCTATCAAATGTTTTCTTTTTCTCGTACTCATCACCAATTTTTATCGACGATGTCATATCTCACGTTCAATTGTTACTATTTAACCATACTTCCAAATTTGCGATGCGTTTACATATTTAAATTGCGCAATTTAACAGTCCAATCAATTGCGTCAATAGATCGTATTAAATATATTATGAATATTTATAATGCACGTAATACTTTGTTTCTAACTAACCGATTTACTAATTATTAGAAGCGGAGAAAATCGTTTTTTATATGCTTTTTCCAATCATTAAGTCTGTATTTTTAAAATTACTAGATAAAAGAAGAAAATTATAACGTCGGTAATTATTGGGAAAATAAACGCATAAATTAATCAATGGTTTCTTGGTCTCCTTCATCGACTTCAAAACTATTTATTAGAAGCCTCTTACAGTGCATAGTTTACTGCGGTTAATTTAAAATTAACATTGGTAAAAGTTATAAGAACGTTCCATGAAATTCATGCTACTTCTATCGCTCTTTTGCTTCTTTTACTTAGGAAAGTTGATCGGCAAAATCTATAGGACAATAGCTTGTCCTACGCTATTAAAAATCGATTTAATTAAAATTTATTTGAATAAAAATATATCGTGATTTATCAAAAATCCAGATGTAGTTAATAAAATAATAAAAAATTGTAGAAAGATATTTTATTCCTTTCTCTGTTATAATTTTAAAGATTTAAAAACTGATGGCCTATGCCATCCCGTATATAATATACCCGCATTCTTATTATTATGCCATTTGTTTTGCATCTGTACATTGTACAAGTTAAAAAAAACATTAAAGAGTACACTGACTTGATATCCCGCTTAAGGTCTTCTTCTTCTTCTTCTTCTTCAC